AATCGGAATTGGGAAATTAGCCAAATGGGAAACGGGAGAGAAGTCGATGCTGCGGATTATCGGATTCTTCAGTTCTCCGGTTCCCGAATACTTTTCTTCTTACGGGTTGTACCGAATCAGCGGTTCCCCAAATACGCAATCCTTTGACTCCCCACTGTAGGAACAGCAGCCACAAAGTCAGATAGCTAGGTAAAGTGCACAGAAAATGGCAATAATGTAAAAAAAAACATTCGAAGTGGTCATTCAAATTGCAGCGAATCACTCGTTCTTCTACTAAGGTATTCAGCGCTTATTAACGGATTTCCTGGCCTTTATTCAGATTTGATCGTACTCCTTAACCCTCGGTTTACTGCATTTTCAAGTGCTTCTTCGGCAATTTCTATCTTTCACTGCCTGCCATACCCTCTTGAAACCTCGGCATGATATCGGATTTAACTCCCTTCCACCAAACGATGCTGCTAGATAAAATACTTCTGCACTATGTTCCAATCTCTCATCTTCTTCAGGTTTCCGAGTGGCTGGCTTTCAATTTTATGTTTACTAGCTTCGAACCTACTACTATAAGTCGAAAGTTTCGAGCCACTTTTCAGGTCTCTGAAGTATCGAGAAGGCTGGAACGTCGTCGTCGCCAATAACAGGTTTACATCTAACAATATCTTTTGGCAGGAGTGTATGAAACTCTATTTTTCGTGTTTTCCGACGTTCCTGTTTCCTGAGCTAAAGTACTTACGAGCGATTGCAAAGGCGATATCGTTACCGGTCTCTTCACCAAAACAAATGACCTTGTTCATATAATTTCCACCCCTATAGCATGTCAAATTACTATAGCAAACCGGTAAAGAGCACTTCTCGTCTGTTGTTTGCCCTTGAAAATAAAAACTTGATTCCTTCAATTGTCCAACTCTCACTTTCTTCGCGCGACAAAAGGGTTAAAAATCAACTGGTCAGAGGTCATTGCTCATGATAATGCACTTCGCCCCCGTTCCAGCCATAATAATTCATTTCGCCCCACTCCGGTATTTCTATGCTCATATGGCACCTTTCCTCTTGTTTCTAGAAACGACTTTTTTCGGGAGTTTTCGCATTTCATCAAATCTGAAACAATGATGGCGCTTTTTTACTGCAACTTTGCTGAATAATGACACTCGTGACGTTGTTCTGTTGTCTCCGCGCCCATTTAAACTATTTTTTAACGACCTTGAGCACTTTTACGAGCATTCTCGAACATATAAGAAAAGGAGACGCAGAGAACTACGCCAAACATCAGCTGTAATCTGTCTGATTGTGAGGGCAGCGAGTAAAAGTTCCAGACTCGGATCAGGTTGTAAGTGATAACAGTGGGTGATAACAATGCAACAATCGGAAGCGCTTCACATTTGCAAACAATATTGACGATTAATCTACGCAAGCTTGAAAATCACTTAATAAAAGGGTCAAGGGACAAAAGAAAAGGAAAAAGGGTTGGAATGCTCATAGATTGTTTCTGTGCTTCCCAGTGATATCGAGAGGTCTAAAAAAGGGTTGAGTGACGCAATTTTCAAGCGAAGACCGTTTTGCAGTCCGATCTCAGGTTTCAGAATAATGCAGTTTTGCAACTGTTGAAGGCCAGCAGTGGAGGCCGCAACCCAAACACCCACTAAAAAATAAGAGCCAGGATCAGCACAATTCTGATGAAAACCATTTGCAAACGGGAGAAAGAAGGAAAGTTATTCTAGAACATGTGCATCGATAACACAAACGTCGTGCACTGGGATCTGTGCGCATGCACCATGCTCAATGTGTCAAACCGCAGAACATTCAATTGCTTTCGCCGAGATTTTCCCGTCTCAAAGTCTATGACTAGTCCCCAGTTGTCAGGTAAGTTCTTAACAATTTTCAAAGCAAAAGAAGATTCTGTTCGCGACTGGGGAGCAAGATTATCAAATTTATTCGCCAACTAGGTTGAAGGGTAAGGATGGCAAAACAGATACACTTTGCCAATTTCGCACATTATCAAAGATACGAACCACTGAGTGCATAGAATTAAAAGACTCAAGGGGGTTAAAACTGTCAAGTTGTTGTTCTATAAGCAGGAGCAAGACACCAGTTCGTGCGAGGAGGAGGCATTGCCATCTTGAGCTCACTTCACTGCTGTAGGGCTCGAGATGGCCCACAGTATTCGCACCTGCCTCGCGCAGCTGTTTGATTCCCATGCACGAATCTCACTTGTGCAGGTTCCTGGACACTGCCGCTGTGGTCGAGAATGCTACCAGACCTCTAACAATTTCGGGCCACCTCACGTTGTGGTTCACGCTTCATTTTTATGTTGTAGGAGAG